ATGCATGTGGCTCTGTGACATGTGGCTTTGTGCCATCAAGACACAAAATGCCTGTGATAATGTAAATGCCTCTCATAGGCTCACAGAACCTTTGGGATATGGAACCTGTTGGAGGAAGTGGATCACTGGGGACAGGACTTGAGGCTTGATAACCCATTTCCTGTCTGCTCCCTGCTTCCTGCTCCAAGAAGATGTGGGACAGGGCCCATCAGAGGACCCCTCCTCCTACCCTTTTGTAGCCACAGCCCTTACCCCACACCCATCCCTGTCCCTCACCCTGGCAAGTGTTATCAAGTTCTTCTCTGTGAATCTGTCTTTTTCAAGATACTATGTGGATGAAACCACAGGATCTCTGGGGTTGGCACATTCACCCAGCATGAAACTCTAGAGCTATCACATAGGTCCAGGCTGTCACCTAGATCCCAGGGTAGAGGTCCGCAGTATAAGCAACAGCCATGCCACAGTTTCCAAGCTGGCCACCCTCTGCCATTGTGATTTCCAGCCTGGGGCCACCAAAGTGAAGCTGCAAAGAGGAAGCACGTATGTAGAGTGTTTGAGAGGACACAGCTTCACTTCTCTGAGATAAAGGTCCATAGAAGGGATTCCAGCTCATACAGTATAGCAGCTCCCATCTCTATGACAGAACCCCTGAGACAATCACCTTATAGGAAGGAAAGGTTTGCTTTGGCTCCTCATTTCAGGGGGTTCGGCCCATGCTGGGCTGGCTCCATGGCTGTGAGCCTGAGGTGAGAGTGAAACATCATACTGAAAGAGCATGGCAGAGCAATGCCACTCAGTGAGCTCACGGCAGCTGAGAACAGAGGCCATGCAGAAGAGGTAGCTAGGAACAAAGTACCAAATACATACCCCGAGGACCCTCACCTCTGGTTCCCATCACCAACACTAATAACAGAGCCTTCCACCTAGGAGCCCACCAGGGAACGGACTCCCTGGCTGGATCAAAATCCACATAGTCCGATGGCTCTCAGTGGCCAACTCTGCCTGCTGGGGACCAAGCCTTTTGAAGTACTTCACAACAAACCCCATAGCAGGGTGTCACCACCACCCAACGGAGGACCTGCCCTTTAATGCAAGGGTCTTTAGAGGACACCGGCATCCAGGCATAACGTTTTGTAAGAGACTTCCATGTCCTTCCTCAAGGAACTGGCCCTGGGCTATGCCTGCCATGTTGAACGGCATACACACACACACACACACACACACACACACACACCATCACCAACCCCTGCACGCAGCTGCCGGTGGGTACGCAGCGATAGTCGCTACAGTCTGAGAGTGTGTTTCCCTAATGACAAGTGGCATGCAGCATCTTGTCCCGTGTCCCTCACCATCTGCACACCCTCTGCGGTGACCGTTCGTGTCTCTGTCTGCCTCTAATTAGATTGTTCTCAGAGGTGCTTTGAGAATTGCTCTCCCACAGTCCTTTGCCTGTGTGTGGCTTGCACATCCTCCTCCCGCTCTGTGGCTTGTTTTCCCAGGTCTTGGGTGAGCCCAACTCTTGATGAAGTTTTCTTTTCTGAACGGGGCTTTGGGGTTGCAAGAATGCCTTCCAAGCTCTGGCTCCTGAGACTCTTTTCCCACGCTGTTCTGTAAGAGTTTTGTGGTTTTATATTGCACACCAGGCCCATGATTCATGCTGAGTCAATTTTCATAAAAGGTGAGAGAGATTCATGTCCGGGTTCCTTTTTCATTTCTGCTCATGGCTGTTTTGCTCATTGTTCTGAGCACTACCTGTCCGAAATCTGAAATCCACAGCTCATGTGCCGACAGTCACATGGGTGGGGGG